TTGATTCATAGATCCCTTTAATAAAATACCATATTAAATAATAGTAAGATAAAAAAGATCTATATATTTGTACAATATACATAATATTTATTACATTATTGTTGCAAAATATTCATACCTCTATATAATAAGAATAAGATCGCAAATCTAAATCCCATAGTAACATTTTTATATGATTTATAATATACTGTGATCCTAATTTAATAAGAATTCCATACTCTTCTGTGTTAGATATGGTATGCCTTGTGTAACCACGTTCCATATCATAATTGTGAACATCACCATTAAGTAAGTAACTACGCATTTCTCCTTGTAATACTTGAGCATCAAGAGACGAGTCAGCAACATTTTCGTCGATGAGCAAATGGCCACGATACGGAAGTTCCGAATCAGGTGTTTGCGTCTGTACAGCGATTGCATCTAACAGTGCGTCTGGCGATATTAATTGAGACGGTCTTACTACACTTAAAAGATCCGACAATGGAATCAGACTCAATCTGAGTTGAGCTGTAAAAATCATTCGTGTTTAAATAGCTTCATATTTTTCAAAAAGAAATACATTGCTTAATCATCGAATTACATGAAAATTACCTAGTACTTCGGTTGAATCAACATCAGGGTTGTTATTAACCCATGATCGTATAGCTGAAAAAATTTCTATTTCTGGCGCACAGAAGGAATCTCTGGAAATCAATTCAGTTAGAGCAGCTGAACTCAAATGTAGAAAACTCTCATGTTGTACAACTTCGGATGCATGCACATCCATGTATTCGAAACAAACCTGAAATTGAATCACATAAATGCTAATTGATAAATTATCATAGATTTTAATCACATATATAAGTTACAATATATACATCAGGCGGAAGTTACAAAATAAAGATGCATATACAATACTAACATTAGTTAGAAATTCCATATGATATAAAAATGCAGTATCGAGAATTGAACATATATTCTTTATGCTTAATATCTCTTTAAGGTAATCAGATATAGCTGATTCTAAATCCATAAATCCATATAAATGCGCTAAAGCTAGGATATCAAGAATGACCTGCAACAAAGAAAATCAAAGCAAAATAAAAAATAGATCATTTTACATCCTTAAATAATGAATTCAGTCATTTGTATTACACTAGATTAGTGAACATTAAAAAAACTGTTTTATCTAAATGCAGTAGCATAATAATTGATTTTGTATTTGTATTATTTGAAATTAAAGTTAATCTTACATTGATGAAACTGAGTCTTGTGCTTTTTCTATCAATGAAGATTAACTTTAATCTTGGTTTAACATACTTTTTATTTTTTCTCAAAATAAGAAAATTAAAGAATAATTGAAACTAAGATTAAAGTTAATCTACATTGGTAAAAATGAACATTAGTCTTCACTAATCTAGTAGTTGCTTTCTAATTACTTCAAAACTTAGATAATTCTCATTTGACATCATAACTCAGTTAAATGTACATTCCTTTTCACTATGATAAATAAAATTCAACTGAGTTTTTATGTACAATCTGTATAAAGACCATGTACTTACTGAATTGTTAACTCACATTAAAAATGAGATTATAAATCTATATTATTACACCATAATTTTGTCATCAAGTAATAATTATTATCTCAGTATAAAATACACAAATTCAAACTCAGTATCACTTATGTGAAAATAGAAAGCAACTAGTGTAATGCAAGTGACTGAATTCGCTAAAAGATGATTCAAAAGAGCGTTACCTCATCCCGCTCGTTAGTGAGAGACATCCGGCCGGTATAAATGTACTTGAGCAAGCCTTTGAAAGCGTGCAATGAAGATACAGTTAATTCTATTTCACTCTGGGTCGACTCCTTCATGCCTCCGAACAACAAAGCACGAAAGTATTCGCTACGTGCGGCAAGAATAAGCTTGTGGCAACGAAATTTTTGACCTGCCACTACTAGAGTTACGTCTGCATATTCCTCAGACAGGTACAAAGCCTCGATATCCTCAGAGACAAAATGAATGTGATTTATCTCGCCGGACGATGAATTCAGATGATGATTTGAACTCATTTTCGTTGAACACGCTTGATACACTCGTGCCAAACTTCCCAGGCTGCCGTCAAAACAGGTTACAATTGTCACAACATCAGCGACTTTGCTACTCGCCTGTGACTGCGTGTTGTAACCAACAACGAGATTCCGCTCAACAGCTCTTCATAGAATTTGCAGCAGCCGCATGTGTCGATCGCATTTAGTTTAGCAGCAATACGATGTGAGAAAATAATGTGAAAGGAGTAAAATTCGTTTAATGGTTAAGCGGAACACATATGTGTGCAAAAGTAACGTTGATTGATGAAATTGGCGAGAATAACGTGTCACATAAAAATTATTACACGATCACACGATCTGGTATCTTGTTGACCGAATACAGCCACCTTATGCTACGAGCTCCTCCGTTTTATTCTCATAAGACGCATAAAAGAAAGGAATTTCAGCAATTTTCACCGCCACTATTTTCTGCTATTGTCACTATCGATCGAATTTTTCGAAGCCCATGTCACCGACGAGATACGTTAAAGATCGTCAACCTTGAGTAAATTTTCATGACTATAAAGGGTCCTCGGTGGTAATTGAAGAGGATTGATATTATCAACTGCTTTGGCTGTACCGACATAACACTCGATCAATGCCGATAGTACAGATTTTTTTAATTCCAAATAAAAAGTCGATAATAGCGACATCTTAAATTAATTCTTTACATTATTGTTCTGTTTCACTCGCAACGCATATATATCTGTTTTTATCTAATATATATTGTAACGTCAATTTAAATTTAAATTTTAATTTAAATTTTCAATTATCAAAATAGGCCTCGAAGGCTTGATGGTAATTGAAGAATGCTGATTATTAACTGGTCGACATAAAATTTAATCGATATCGATAGTACGACTTTTTATATTCCAAATAAAAAAAGTCGAGTGATGTCTTAAATTAATTTCTTACATTATCGTTTTGTTTCACTCGCAAATGCATACATCTGTTCTTATTTAATTAAAACTCTAGATATATCAAAATAACATCATCTATTTTAGAGTTACTATCCAGCGAACGAGAATGGATTGAAATGAATTGAAATTGGATTCAGATTTTTAAAAATATTGATTCACGAATGTTAAAATGAATGCTTTTCAATCCTGAATGCATTTTTATTCATTTATAGGAATTGCATGAAGCATATCTCTATGTCTTTCAATTTAAAAATAATATTAGTTTTTTCTGTGCATACGCAATACATTGTGAATACTGTTTAATTCAAAATTTTGAATAGGAAATGCAGTTTTTCAATCCAATCGCATCCAATTGAATTTAATTGAATCCAATTAAATCCAAAAAAAGTATTCGCTATTTAAAATACGCATTCGGATAGAAAAAAATTTCAATCCATTTTAATCCATTGTCGTTTGCCTGGGTAATCATATCAATATAATACTATATAAGTGCTTACGATACTATAAAACTTTTTTTTAAAAACTTGTATTAAGAAACATCAGGTAACAATTCTACGAGTTGAAAATATCTAAGTTGTTAATGTTTTTATTGTTTCTTGATTTTAGTATAAAGTTTATTGTAGCACCTTCCAATTTTGCATCTACTTTAATCCTGTAAAAGGATTTCCATTCAATAAATTCAGAAATTTTTATCAATCTGCAATGTTTCGACAATTTGGTCACTCCAGCATCCTTAGTTATTATCAAATAAAATATAATTTGTAACTTATTACATACATACAAGGCAAAAACAGCTAAAGATAATTTTACTATAAGTTGTCAAGTATAAAATTGCAATCACGATTGTAATTGTTTTATTTTATATTTAACAATTTATAGCAAAATCCATTTTTAGTTTAGTTTGACTTATATACGTGCAATAAATTACAAATTGTATGTTATTGTCTGACCTATATGTGTGCAATAAGTTTCAATCAAATTGTTTTATTTATTTGATTATAATTAACAACTTATTTATATTATAATTGAAATAAAATATGCTGCTACTGACAATGTACAAATTTCGTTAAGACATTTCGGTATGTTTCATAATACTGCATATATTTGCTGTATATATTTTATTACATATTTGTATTACCGAGTTACGTTATTTCTTGCGTTACACATTTTTAATACATAATCTTATAAATATTTAGAACTTTCGAAAAACACGAAAGTGATGATGAATCTGTAGAATTTCACGATGTAAATGAATATGATATAGAGAAAATAAAGAAAGAGAAGATTTTATTTATTATTCTTCCATGGCATCATAGATGCGTAATAGATATAACGATACGTTAAATCTTATGTCATTGTATTTGTCATTCGCTTAATCGGCTTGATGTGCATTGTTTAAAACAGCTGATATGTTATCATCAAATTTAAATTTTCTTTATAAAGAAATTTACGCATGATTCAGTCACAGTTTAATAGAAAAATAGAATATAAAAGATTATACGATATTTTAAATAATGATGAAATCATTTCACAACTTCGTCGAACATAGCTTTGTTTTACACGGTTGTGCAAATATAACGTAATAAATGTGTTATTAGAACAAAAACATTTTTTAGTTGTTAATAAAAAAAATGTTACACAGCAAGAATACTAAATGAAATATTATATGATGATGTTAATTACTTGTATCTGATCATTCTTAAATCAGTTTTTTACGAATTAAATAAAGTAAATTGCATTTTCCAATTAAATTTTGTAGAAATTGATTGAGGATATAAAAAGATTTGTGTTATAGCTAAAAAAATTTTGAAGCTTTTGTTTGTAGAAAATATAAATAATATTATAAAAAATGACACTGAACTTGCATACGTGGAGTCAAATGAAACTGATTTTGAAATAGAATATTATAAATACTATCGTAAAATAAAAGCATCTGTATCAAAAAGTGTTATAAAAAATGTAGAACAACAAATTATTATCTAAAGAAGTTATTATAGGAATTAATAAAAAAATTACATCTTTTTAATATTAATCATTTTAAAGGAATTTAGGCATTAAGTCTAAATATATATCTGTCGCAAGTTGCAAAAATTATTATATATATTTTTAAATTATTATATATATTTAGATGTTCCTTTACTGGATGTGTTTTATTGAATAAGAAAGATTTAAAGCTGAGTGAAAGTATAATATATTAAGTGATGCGCATTAGAGTGTATTGTATAGAAAAGAAATATTGAAAGATAGTTATCAGTTTTAGCCAATTAATGCAACAAAATGTAAGAGATTCGCTTGCTTTTAAAAATATTGCAGACTTTGCATTGAAAATCTTAAGTTTGTCAATATTAAACGCAATAGTGGAAAAAATTTTTGAGCATTATGAATGCGACAAAAGATAAAGTAAAGAATAAAATAGGGACAAAATGTTAAATGCAATCCTTAAATAAAAGCGCATTCGCACATTAACAATTATTGTTGCAAAGATTCCGTAAATACCGAAAATATGTTAAGAAGTTTAACAATACTTAAAATATGTTAAGAAGTTTAACAATACTTGTATAAGAAGACTGATGTAGAAAATAAGGAAGATAGCGTATATCGATGATCTGTATGTCGTAGAGGCGATGAATGAAATAAAAAGAATGTCTTGTATGAGAGCGTAAATGCAGTTTTTAATCTGTAAGTTATACACTCACTGACTAAAAGATTACAATATTTATTTTGTAATGGGTTTGTTATAGATCCATAAGCAAGGATCAATCACTCGGTGAGTAGACTGCATTCCGAAATTCCTTAAAAAAACGTGTTGCAATCTTTTAGTCAGTGAGTACACTTTTTGTATTGAAATTGAGATAGATATATGTTTGATACGAAATGATAATATATCAGATAATATATTACAATTAATATATATTAAATGATAATATATATGATATTATAAGATACTAATATATGTTTGATAATATAGGTGATATTATGCGATATATTGATTTATTGATGTATGATACTCTCCTTTGCCACGGATGTTAAAGCTCAGATTCATCAGATTGATATACAAAGCAAAAATATAAAAAATAAAAAATAAAAAAAATAAAGAAAATTTCATCGTCTGTTGGCGCGTAGTAGGCGCGCCTTGGACGCTGAAAGTTGGCGCCTTGGAATCCCAAAAACCTGACGTCATGACTCGAACAGCGCGCTTGCCAGCCCATCGTCGCTCCTCGCGACTCGTGTGTCGAGCTAGCAATAAGCGTATACTTGGTAGTAGGCCGGCGTATTTGGTAATCTTTAGATATTAATATCTCATTAACTATTACGAAAATTGGTAAAGGACTTTCCGTCTCAATTTAGTACATACAATTGAGAATAAAATGAGCGCATATATGACAATAAAAATCAGACACGCATAATCAACATTATGATATAAGTGAATATTAAATTGATAGTTAACAAAATGATGGAATGTATATAAATTATCATTATTATCATTAATTAACATACAATATATAACTAAATAATAGTGAAATATACGAAAAATTCCAATATTATCAATGATTTAACAGACAGTAGAATAATGAATGAACAAATTAACAATAATATATTGATTAGCATTAAGAATAAAAGAATGAAAATATTAAAGAAATATTAAAGAAATAACGAGGATAATAGAAAATATCTTTCTTTTTATTATTAATTTACAAGAATAGTTGATATAATAAGTAAATTTAGGCAAATATAAAATTCTTAAAATAAATAAAGTAATGAACTGAAATATTCCTTAAAATGAAAACAAGGAAAGTGATCTTTTACCCTGTACACTTACCAAATCCCTGATACAATCGTGGAATAAATAATTTCCAAGGATTTTCCAGTTAAAAGGATTGTCTCAATGTTAATATCTTCAAAATTCCATAAATTGATTCTTGGCCGCGTGCCAAAGGCAAATCACGAAATGTCCTCGTGGTGTGAAAATTTTCAATTGCACAGTGATGAATATCGTCAATATAAAGCAGTTCTTCATATATATTTTTCCAGAGATAATTGATTACGACAATCAGAAATGAAAATACTGAACGAGGAGTAGGAGGATGTCCACAGTATAGAGGAAGGGGGAGAGAGGATTTCTGCCCTAGAGATGAAACCTCTGAAATCCATAAATTCATTTAGAGTATGATAAAATCTATCTATCATCCAATATCAAATTCTAATTTTTCGACAAGGAAAGTTGAAAAAATGTTTGAAGTTTTACGTATAGTGACGACGCGGTGGCGAGAGAGGCAGAAAGCGAGTGAGACAGCGAGAGTGGAGGTGGAAAGTCACTGACGTACCTGGGTACCCGGGCAAACAGTTTGCCTAGATATCCAGGTACGTCAGCGGCTTTCCATCTCCACTCTCGCTGCCTCACTCGCTCTCTGCCTCTCTCGCCACCGCGTCGTCACTACGTAAAATTTGTAAGGTCGAGATTAATTTTTTAAATTCTAATTTTTGAATTTTTATGTGAACGCTCTAGTATCCTTTCTAAATAGGAAATAGAATCTGTAATTAGTGAAA